ACTAGAGGTGAATATTCCTTGTCTTCATATGCTTTGCCTTATAAGCCCTTCCCAGCCACTCTAACAGTGTTTTACATTCTGCACATTTGTAGTTGCATTTGATTCACTCACTCCAAGAATTAATCTAAAATATGGGCTAAGATTCTAACCAAATAAAACGGGCAAGATACAGGGCACCAATGTTCCCTCTAATCTGTGGAGTTTTGTGAGCAAAAATTCTACTTTGTGAGCTACTGGCATTAAAGTTGTGAGCGAGCAATTTGGCTACTGCATAAATTAATTCTCTCTGGAGCCATCCTTCCTGAGCTAAGAGAAAAATCTGTGAGCCGGAGGCTAAAAAACTGTGAGCCAGCTCACACTAACTCAGCTTAGAGGGAACACTGCAGGGCACTACAGGGGGAAAACTGAAATAAAATGCATTATGAACAAGACATCTAAAAATACAAATTCCAACTCCATTTGCAATTTGTATGTGACACTGATGCAAGAGAGTAGGGGACAGGAAGCACAAGTGCCTCCCCCCCCCCCCGTCACCTCCTGCATCATTGCATTTTTTCTATCCACAGACAGAGACAGGGTGGAGAAGGGAATGCAAAAGAACATCGGATGAGACAGAAATGGAGGAGTATGGGAAGAATGAAAAATGAAGTTCCTCCACCAACATCACACCCAAAGCCACTCTCTGTGCTTTGTCATCAGTTACTTAAGGCTGTGACTGAGCCCTGGAGTTACTCCCTGGATCTCCTGGTGGAGTATCTGGAATGACAGAATGACCCAGGCAGTTAACATGATGACTCCCGGATACTCATGTGTTAGAGGCCAGGTAGTCCTTTGGTTTACTGAGGGGCTGTGGGAGATGAAAAGGCAAGGGAGTCAACTAGAGTAACAATGGAGGAAGGCTTGGACAGAATCCAATAAGACATGGATAAAAGCTCATTTTAAATCGTACTCAGTGGCAGTGATGGAGGCAAAGAAACAATACCTCTTAACCACCATTGCATCTACACAGTGTAGGCCAGCAGAGCTGTTCCAGGGAGTCAGAGGCCTGTTAGTATCTGGCCTGCAGGAGGAGATGAACTGCTCACTGGCCTACTGTGACAATTTTGTCAACACTTTGCAGATAAAATCTCTCTCATCCATAACATCTTGAACTCTACATTAGCTGTGACAGTGTTAGATGGTGCCAGGCTGCTCTCCTGTCCAGTTGTTTGAGATACTTTTCAGTTTAATCAGTCCGAGGATATGGACAGGATCCTTGGAACTCTGAGGCCTACCACCCACTTGAATGATCCTTGCCCTTCCTGGCTAATTAAATCTGCTGGAGAGGGGCTGGTTGACTGGGTGTGGGAGGTAGTTAATGCCTCCTTAATGGAGAGGATGGTTGTCCCAGCCTTGAAACAGGCTGTGGTGCACCCACTTCTAAAGAAGCCTACCATGGACCCAGGAGATCTCAGTAACTAATGACCAGTCTCAAATGTTCCATTCTTGAGCAAGGTGATTCAACAGGTCATGGCTGGACAACTTTAAGATTTCCAGAATAAGGCAAATTGTTTAGATCCCGTTCAGTCTGTTTTTAGGCCTGGTTATAAGGGGCCATGGTGGCTCAGAGGTTAAGACACCGAGCTGCAGACTGGAAGGTTGGTAACTCGGCAATTTGAAACCCTATATCACGGGCTGGGCTTGGGCTAAGAGGCAGAAGTCAAGTCTGGTCCAAGGTCATTGCCAGGAGAGTCAGAGCAAGAGCCAAATCATGAGTCCAAAAGAAGGGTCATCTGAAGCAGGGGTCAGGAAGCCATGAATCCAAGCCAGAGTGGGGGTCTGAGGACAGGAGCCGAAGGTGGATGTGAGGCACACATGGAGGCAACTTGTTGCTTCCGTGAGAGCCCAATCCTGAGTGGGAGTTATATAGGCTTCCGGCCGGGCTTCCCATGGCAGCAGCAGCAGTCCTGCTAATACTCAGGACTCAGTGCTTGCCTTCCCTGCCAGTGTGCATCTCAACAGTGGGTGGCTAAGTCTCTGTGGAGCCACTTTCTTAGCTGAACCACCCATGGAGGTGAGTCAGGCGGGCTCCCCGATTGCATCTGTACCTCCTTGGTTGCTGCAGGACCAGGTGTAGGGTTTACAGGCTCAGGTGCTGGCAAGCTATCCACTTGTGAGGAGTCAGAGGGGCCGGCTTCTGGTTCTGATAATGCCGGTACCTCTGGCTGCAATGCCAACTCATCTCTGGCCCCAGCTCCTGCCAACGTAGCAGTTCGAATGCAAGAAACTGCAAGTGGATAAATAGGTACCACTTTGGTGGGAAGGTGACAGCATTCCGTGCACCTCGACATTTAGTTATGCCAGCCACATGACCATGGAAATGTGTTTGGACAGCACTGGCTCTTCAGCTTGGAAACGGAGATGAGCACCACCCCTTAGAGTCAGGTTTGACTAGCTTTTGAGCAAGGGAAACCTTTACCTTTAACACTGTTTAGGATTGCACTCTTGTTGAGCTCAGTAAGAGTGCAGAGCTTTTGTGGGAAGTTGATAGCTGAGAAATTAATATGGTCACAGCTCATATATGTACTAGTAATAGGGATAATACGGAGAACAAGAAAAACTGTTAGAAAGTGACGCTTAATATATGTCTTTAAAGAATCATAGAAAAGTGAACAAAAATAATATACATAATCATAGAAAAATATATATTGACGGTGATCTCCGGAATGTCTTGCCGTTTCGAAGGAAGATCTTCTTCTGAACAAAGATGTGGGACCTTACAAAAACTGTCTCTCAATAGTTCATATCCTCTGGTGACGTCTCACAATTATCAAAGATTTTCAATAATCATACCAGCCATGGTAGGTTCTACTATACATTACAGCTGGTATTATTATTATGTATATTCTTTTTGTTCATTTTTCTATGATTCTTTAAAGACATATATTAAGCGTCACTTTCTCACAGTTTTTCTTGTTCTCTGTATTATCTCATTACTGTGCCAATCAATTGTTATTATACCTAGTAATAGGGATGCTAGCCTTCAGGTGGGATCTAGGGAATCCCTTGGAGTTACAGCTAGGGAATTACAGAAGGGACCTCCAGATGACCCTGGAGGTCCCTTCTAACTCTATCATTCTGTGATTCTATGATATTTTAGTTCTATGGTATTAATATTTTACTCAGTAAACCTTTGAGCCAACTTACACTTTGGCACAACTTACACTTTTAAGCATTCTTTTCCTGCTAAATGAAAATCTGCCAGCTCATCCAGGTATTATAAACAGGAGCATCATATATTATAAGATAATTACTGTCCTAAATTGTTTTTAATTAATAAAACTAAAGGACGAGATTCAATTATGGATGCACTGTGCATCTTCAAGGAGCCTAAAGTCAAGTTTCTGATTCAATGCACAGGAACAAAGTAGCACTTATTAAAAGTACATTTAACTCAAACCACAAAAGATGCTATAAGGACATTAATATTTTAGTTTTGGAACCAGAAATATCATAATAGGAATGCCAGACCAAAGCATTTAAGCCATAAAAATGAAATCTGAATACTCCTCTATCAGTACACTTTACCACCGTTAATGTTTCCATTGTTTGAGGTTGAAAGTGGCTTTTCCAAGATGCAGATGCTTGAAAAATGCTAAATTTTGTTAGTACATTAGAGATATAAGTGTTCCAAAGTTACTTGCCAAGCTCCTCTATTCAGTTTTGAATCACTCCAAGACAATGCCAGAAAAAACCCCTACACACATAAAAAAAATGCCATGACGTAGATTTCAAAGAGCCAAAAAAGATGCGGGTTGTTATGAAAAAAATATTTTACTTTCCCACATGTATCAAGGCTCTGAGTATCAAGGCTCTGAGTTCAAAATCTCTTCTGAATGCAGCAATATCTATCATCAATACAACTGTTTACTGATTCCTAGCACCAAGCAGAATGTAAAATAACACCACAATGTACCCCAAACAGTATGGCCACAAATGTAAGTATTTATACCTAGATGCCACATGACAGGTCAGTGATTTCTGGGAAATCATACAGGCTGAATTTTAAGTTATTCTCTGTCTTTCAGTTCCTGAGGAATAATATCACTGCTGGTGATATTTTTGAACTTTGTACTAAAGCAGCATTATTATTGTGTGTATAAAGTGCCAACTTATGGTGACCCCAGCAAGGGGCTTTCAAGGCAAGTGAGAAGCAGAGGTGGTTGGCCATTGCCTTCCTCTGCAGAGTCTTCCTTGGTGGTCTCCCTTCCAAGTACTGATCCTGCTTGGATTTCGACATTTCAATGGCTAGCAAAATGTATATGTTTTTGGCCTTGGGATAAAGAAAGCCTGGACATTTTGTGGCAATTTGAATTCCATTTGCTGTACACCTGGATAACAGAAAGTCATGTTGCTCTAGTAGATAGAGGAGATCATATGGAAGGGGCCAAAGGTGTGCTAAGTTCCTACAGCAATACCCGATGCCCCTTCCTCAGGGCATGCAGCGTTGAGATGGGAAGGAATCATCAAAAGATCAAGCAGCCGTTCCTCATTTGTATTGTAAAGACTGGATCTAAGAGGTTACCACAGAAGGGGCACTGCCTTGCAGTCCAGTGTAAAGTTGCCACAAGAAGCATATTTCTCTTTTAACATTTCCAGCAGAGTCACCATTTTTAAAAGAAGGGATTAACTTTTGAACAGGAACACCCTCCTTTTAAAATGAATAATGAATAGTTAATATGATAACCAGAAGAAAATCTGATTTTCAAGCTATGAGCTAGCCGGGAACATTTTAATCTTAAAACACAATGGGATTATTATGACCTGTTTTGTTTTCACTTGCTGCGTTATTATTGCGAAGAATCACTGTGGGACAAACATTTGCAAAGAAGGATAGCTCAACAGTGCACAAGTATGCATATTCATAAACTGTTAAGTGACATTGGCTACAGTGTTCTATGCACCTAGATGTTACTGTAGACATGGGATGGCCACATTGAGAGGTGAGCAAAGGTGCCTACCTTTCGCCCCGCCTCGTTGTTGTGCAAGTTCATGAGCGTCCTTGCATTCTGCTTAATCTCCCTGGCATCCACAAACACTTTGGCGAATCCTATTCCATAGCGGATGTCTGCAGAGCAGCCTCCCCATTTCCATCCTTCATCTTTGTGGTACTGTCCCTGTTTTTCCTTGTCACAGCCACAGTCGCTCAGGTTCCCCTGGGTGCAGGCGGCAGTGATTGCATGTGCTACTCCCGCAGCAATGATGGCATAGGTGAATGCTGCTTCTCTACTACCTGAAATTAGGACACATGGCTCAGTAAAGGACACAACATTCAGGAAAAAAAGAAAGGAGAAAAACGTGCAAGCCCATGCAGTGAAAATGCTGCAAGGTTATTATTAGACATGCTATAAATATGCAGGCATAAGCATTTCTTGACAGTTCAAGGGTCCAATCTTTTGTTGATGTTCAGGCACTCCAAAAAGAACCAATATACATGCTGTAGTGAAGGCAGTGCATTTTGCCATATTCATAAATGTAGGGTTACCATACTAGATCATTAATGTAATCAGGCTCAATGGTGCAGGCAAGACTGCTATATCAAATGGAAACCTTAAGAGGACTTCAACAGGATTTTGAAAATATCAACGAGACAGCTTCAGATCAAGTTACACCTTGGCGACACAAGTCGATGTCATGCTATTCAGGAAATAATCAGCATGATTCACCCCAACAGAAATCCAGAATGAATATTTCCTTTATGTAATTTGGCCAGGGATTTACTGAGAATGGTACAACGATCTGGTTCTAAACGTCACAATAAACTTGGTTTGTTTAAACCACAAATTGATTGCACAAACCCTGGTTAGTCTACCAGCTCTACATAACAGGACACATTTTGTTTATAAACCCCAGCCAGTCTGTTTTATTTTATTCAAATATTTATACCCCATTTTCCCCATAGCTCAAGGAGGCTTACAAATTCAAATGTTAAAATATATATACAAAAAATACATTCTGATCTTCAAGCAGGATTCCTCAATAATTTCCCAAGTTTCCTTGCATTGCCAGCAAAGCATCACTACATATGCAGTTATTTTGTCCACTACTGTTTGGTTGCTATAAATGGACAGGGAATGAGCTGGAACAAGTCTAGGCTGAACCAAACTTCCACAGAGATTTTGCAGTGTTCTTGTCTTAGGTGACCATCAGCCCTTTTCTTCCTTTCTATCCATCTCCTGTCTCCCTGCATTCCCTAAACGTTTTTCCTTTGAAACAAAATAGGACTTATACAGCCTACACACACACACACAACTTTCCCCCCTCTTGTTCATTCATTCCATCCCCTAACACTGGTGGACCTACATTTTTGGGACCCTAAAGCCTGAACTGTAATGGGGGCCCCTTCTCAACCAGCAACAATAGGGCAACATCCAACAAGCTCCAAAGGGCCTTGCCGCCCTTCAAGAACCTCGAGTTCCAAATGGTGGAGAACGGGTATTAGAGCATATTCTAAGGTCAATATTAAGTACTTCAACCCATTGGCTTATGATTCTGTCACTAAAATAGCCTTATTTTAATAACACTTTTAAAAAACTCCATCAATTTTGTTGGAAAATTCACTCTTTTTTTTTTAATTGCTTCAGGGGCCCTCCAGGATTATCTGACCCTGTCCCCTAAACTTGTTTTCTCTCAGAAAGAAAATAAAAGTTTGGAAAGACACACATGATCACTGTTGAGTCACTTACTTCCTCTCTCTTGGGATATTAAGAAAGTTTTGAAATACTGAGTTTTCTTTACAGGGAGGAGGGTATGGCAGTAGGCGGATTGTGAGCTGATTTTGATTGTAACTGAGGCTTCAGTGGAAGAATTTCTACCATGTGTAACTAAATAAATATTTTTAAGTCTCCAACACTAGATAAGTTCCCCAGAAGTTTGTAGTTATTTCATAATTCTGTTCCAAATATTGGTTGTTGAACCTCATGATTTGTGGAGCATATATCTGATATGCTTGTCTATAAGAATAAGCAAAGAAGAAAGTCTGCTACGGTGCAATCCTAAGCAGAGTTACACCTTCCTATTGAAGTAAATGGGTTTAGAGGGGTGTAAAATCTACTCAGGATGGCAGTTAGGCACTTCTGTTCTCCACAGTATCACTCTCCACAAGTGATCTATATACTAATGCTTGCCTCTTAGTGGTTCTTTTACAGAAAATACCTACTTCCTTACCATATGCCACAAATAGCTAAGAGCATAATGGACACAGATGACATCAACAAAATCAGTTAATAGGCATTTTCATGACCACAGCTACAGGATATGTATTGATAGAAGTCTATAGTGTCCTTTTTAGTTTTTAGTTGTTGCTGTTTATACAACTGCATACACAATCTAAGCATCTTGTACCTTCAGAATTTATAAATATCCTGGAAACACTAATCTTTCTAAAGCGCTCCTTCATAATAAGCATAATTTAACTTATTGTAATTCAAACTGAAGGAAACAACATTAATATGCATATATGAAGTGTTGCTTTGGTATAATTGCTCTCCAAAGGATGTCTCACAGAGATGTTAAATTTTGATTTCGTAGAAGATGAAGATGTCTCATACTAGTACATACATGAGCTGTGAGACTATTAGTTTCTCAACTATCAACTTCCCACAAAAACTCTGCCCAAAAACTCTGCCCTAAACAGAGTTAAAGGTAAAGGTTTCCCTTGCTCAAAAGCTAGTCAAATCTGACTCTAGGGGTTGGTGCTCATCTCTGTTTCCAAGCTGAAGAGCCCGTGCTATCCAAAGACATTTCCGTGGTCATGTGGCCAGCATGACTAAACACTGAGGTGCATAGAACGCTGTTACCTTCCCACCAAAGCAGTACCTATTTATCTACTTGCAATTTCTTGCTTTCGAACTGCTAGGTTGGCAGAAGATGGGGCCAGAGACAGGAGCTCACTCATCATGCAGCACTAGGGTCTTGAACCGCCGAGCTACAGACCTTCTGGTCTGCGGCTCAGTGTCTTAACCTCTGCGCCATCACGGCCTCTAAACAGAGTTATACCCTTCTAAATCCATTGGACTTAGATGGGAGTAACTCTGCTTAGCCTTGCACTGTTGATTTACCGCCTTCATATCCAGGGCCAGATTAAGGCTAACTGATGCCCTAAGCACAGCACACCTCAGCCCTTCCATTGCTTAACTGACAAGACATTAAGACTCAATAAATGCTGAAGATGAAATAAGAGATATAAAATTCAGTTCTCATCCAAGCCATCCCCTACAACTATATAAAATATCAACTTTTTAAAAGTATATTTATTTAACACTAAAAAGTAGTAAGCAATATAAGCAAAAAACCCTCTGCGTTGCCCCCTTGGTGCCCTAAGCACTTGCTTATCTTGCTTAATGGTTAATCTAGGGCTGTCCAGACCTTACAAGATGAAGACACCAAGTCAGGAAACTTTGAATTGGCATCTTAGATATATGCAGAATAATCAGCATCCTGACTTTTCTAGCAAATTCTCCTAACCTAAATCTAAGAATGATGAAATGATGAAAACTATTACGGTGAGGAGCCAGAGTCCATGTGAGAATTAATAGCACTTCTGAATCTGCTCTAAAACCATAACACTATAGTGATGTGTTTAGGTCCAAATCTTTTAAAGCTCTGGCATGATCCTAGTCTATTGCACTCAAGATATTCATAAAATTGTGCTTCCAGACTAAAACCCTAAATCTGTTCTGCCCATGTCAGTTTCAGCACATGTGCCTGGCCAATACACAGATTTTCATGTACCGTTGATTCCCCTCTTTTTACAATTTGCAAAAATCTATCCTTTTCAGTTCCTTCAGTTCTGGTTCTGAAAAAGTCAAGTTAGATGTCATCAGGTATATGGCGGTTCCAGCTTCCTCAAAGCTTATTCCTTTCCTTATGCCATTCTATGTAGAGCATCGCAACAGTTAATTCTGTGCACAGGCTTCATATTCAATGTAGGGGCTATTTCTGTGAGGTAAGTAGCCACTTATGGATGTTTGAAGTTGTGCTTTCTGAAAATGGCCTCCACCATTTGTGGCCTGTTTCTATAGTTACTGTTTTTCATTGATTAATTGTAGAATAATACAAATACTGTCACTAAATATATCTTACTGTATTTGATCATAATTCTGTTGGACAATTATCAGTGTTTTGAAAGCACATGCAACAGGTGAACCTTTCTGCACAACTGGCATTCACCAAAAAGCACTGCAAATTGTAAAAATAAATGTGTGTTTTTGTTAGTATCTCCTTTATAAAAGAGTTACACCTTTGATGTCAAAGGGTTTAAAATGATGCAACTCCTCTTCTTAGGATTGCACTGCAAATTGTTTGAATGGTATTGCATGGACTGGCATCCAGTAAAACTCAACTTGGCATTTTGGGCTAGTGCTCTCAACAAACGTGATACAAACTTTGGTGGATAGTTTATCTTTCCTAGAAATCTTGTAGTTCATCCTTCTCCTTTGGACAAAATGTATTGGTTGTGGCCACTATTTTAGTTGAATTCAATCTTAACCCTTCTTTATTTCATTTATTACTGTATATCAAATTAACTTTTTGTACCAAACTAAAATTAGTTCAGGCCTTCAAGACCTAAAATATCCTGTAATTTAAGTGGAGGTACCTTATCGTTATACCTAAAATTCGGCTTAAATTAGCATGAAAATGAAAACCTGCATGCCTTTGTGTGTGGGAGCATGGGAGAGAACAGCGCTGATGCCATGACATCACTTAAGAACATAAGAACATAAGAGATGCCAATGTTGGATCAGGCCAAAGGCCCATCCAGTCCAACACTCTGTATCACACAGTGGCCAGAAATACCAGTGCCATCAGGAGGTCCACCAGTGGGGCCAGGACACACCAGGAAGTGCCATCACAGTTTTTGTGATGCTCTAGGAATTTCTCCCAATCTCTGCTCCATCATGTGGGGATGCAATGCAGGGAGAGAGGCTGCCCCCACAGGCATGTGTGAGTGTTTATCACTTCCTCTGTCAGAGAGTGATGCCTTGTACTATGATTCAGTTTAGGGTTTTCAAATTCCTTAATCTAGCAGCAGTGCTACTGTGCTGCACTCCAGAGGAAAATAGATATTCTTACATTTCTCCTTCTATGGCCCACAAGTTCATTGCATATAAGCATGCTGTAATCCTGAAGATTATTGGCTTTGTCAGAAATTGGGGCTGCCTTTACACACATTCAGGGGTTTCCAGCATCACTAGGAACATGTGGACCCATTCTTTCAGGTTCTTCCTTTAA